AAAGTGATGACTTTAGAGTTGAGTCACCCTAAAGTGTGGAAACAGGAGATAGGGGAACTAGACACTGAAGTGCTCAGTTGTCAAAGGCATTTGAAAAGGAGAGCAGTAGTTATGATACCTGATAATCAAGTGCTTCCTTCACATTTTTGTATGATATTTTGAACTGGTGTGATTACATGTGCGCAGTTGTTCACCTCATTGTAATTTTCATTTTAAAATACTGTACAATAGATTTTTCAGAGTGACAATGGAAGCAGTTTCCTTGTGTCAGCTGTGGTGAGATTCACCACTGTTCACTCTCCTGGTTCCTGTTCACGAATAATGACTGTAAAAATGATGGAAACGTTTTTCTGTATACAATGATGTATTATCCAGGCATGTCCGAAATAATACCCTCCATCACATACAGACCATTTTTAAAATCGTTTTGTTTCAGGTAAAAGTGAAGTTTTAATTACCTGTCAGTTTTTCCTAATATCCTTGTGCACTTTAGAAACCATTTTCTGTACTTGTTTCTGTTAAATCTGTATTCTTTTCTATTTTTCACGCCTTGACAGAAATTCATGATGAAGGTAGGTTTCTTGACACTCTTCTCTACCCCTCCTTCCCAGTTCCTTGCATCTCGCCTGGCCTTTCCCAAAGGCAACACCTCACATCTGTTGCTACCTTATGGAGTGTCTTTTGTTGATGAATTGTCTGTGTGCTTCTCATTTAGATAATCATGCCATTATTGATATCCCATGCTGCCTCATAGTCAGCCTTGTGATAAATTGTGTGGCACATTGTGTTGTTCACCAGCTGTGTTTCACTTGAGAATTGACATAGTCTCTTTGCTCCTTAACTGCAGCTCTTTGTCTCTCTGACCCACTAACGTATTGACCAATTTAGTCATGACTGCATCAGAAAAATGTGCACAACTGTTGACTGCAATTTGGTTTTTGTCAGCTTCACCCTTAAGAAATGCGCATTGAGTGAATGTTTGAAGATCAGGGTGTCACGCCCTCTGCAGCCAGAGGGCGCTCCTTCTCTGTCCTGTCCCTAGTTTCCAGTCTGCTGTCCTTCCTGTCCCTCTCTTTCCCTTGGGCTATATATTTCTGGGTCTTGCACTCTGTCGTCGCTCAGCATTGACGTTTGGATGTCCTGAGACGCGCCTAGCACCAGGGCGCCCCACGTCCGCTCCCTGAGGGCATAGGTTTCTATCAAAATTCCTGAACTCTTTGCACTAATGAGCCCGGGCCTTTTTCCCGTCTCGCCGCTACGCATATGGGTCTTTTTCCGCTCTCCTGCTCCCCACGGTTAGTCCCTTTGGACGTCCGTGACACAGGGCATTTCCTGGGATCACAAATTATATTCAGTACCGGAAATAGTTTTACTGCAGTAATTCAGCGATGCAAAAACTTTGAGAAAGTTGTTTTCTGCTTTAAAAGACCATGTAATTCTAGAGATGGAGAGAAGCAAAAAAATATTTGAGTGTGTCCTTCAATGTAATGACAGTTAATAATTATTCTAGGTAGAGAGTGGGATAAGCAAGCGCCTCTGATATTTGGGAAGCTGGAGAAACACTGTATTTCTCTGAAATGTAAAATCTGTGTGGAAGTAACTAAAAGAGCCCCATTGTGTAGTTTCCAGTACACTGCATATTTGATTGAAATAAAACACTGAAGCATACTTTAGCTTCATCTTGAAAAATAAGAACATAATAAAGATTACAAATGAGATAAAGCCCTTTAGCTTATTTTATGTGCTCGGTCACTAATAGCTAATTGATCCAAAGCCAGCTGTTTCTTCAAAGATCCGAGGGAGTGAGCTTCAAAAACAGAGCCAGGTGCAGTATGAAGTTTTTCGGCCGGCTCAAATAGGTGTTTTAATGGACAAAGATTTTACTTGCGCTTTGGAGTTTCAAATGATTAAAATAATTTGATGAAGTGCTTGCTTACTGCTCTTAACAGTATGTTTCTAATGGAGACCTAAAATTCCTGATTTTGCGCTGTCACATTCAATTACTTTTACTATTACTATGGACACACTGCAGTAGAGCAACACCTGCGAGCTCTAATTAGACAGGATACAGGGTCAATTTAAAACCCACTGATGTCCTCCCAATGGGTATTAGTATAGCAAAATGTTGTGATTTGGTGCAGTTTCCTCTTTATTACTAGTGACCTTCCTGTTTGCATGTAGCAGAAACATGCTTAACATTTAGAATTGATTTTATTTGAGCAAATTGTTACTAGTGACCTAAAATATCTATCCATCAGTCTATCCCTTTTCTAATCTCTTCATCCAGTTTAGGTTTACATGAGAGCTGGAGCCTCTCTTACTAACCAGTGGGTGCAAAGCAGGACACTCCCTGAACGGGACGCCTGTCCACCACAGGGCACAAACACAGACACGCACACACTCACACCAGAGCCAGTTTTTCCAGAAGCCAATTAACCTACCAGTCTGTGTTTGGACTGGGAGGAGACGGGAGCATCCAGAGGAAACCCATACAAAGATGGGGAGATCACACAAACTCCACACACGCCGCATCTCAGGATTCGAACCCCAGGACTCCAGTACTGCTAACTAACTGCTGCTGTCCTAAAATATCCTTTGTTAGCAATTAGTAATGATAATAATCTTTTATTTTATATAGCGCCTTTCATGGTATATATCATCTTAAGGCGCGGTACAATAAAACAACCAAACAAAAGAGACAAGTACACACAAATGAAACTTGGGAATCAAAGAGGATTCAGCACAAGGGTATTGCAATCAGTTTGAAGGTAGGATTTGGAAGTCCTGTCTGACTTGCAAGACCTAATATGAGCTAAGCACACCCTGCCAGTGTTCAGAGCCATGCACTGGGAACTGGGAGCCAGATCTTCCAATGTTGACATACAGTAGGTGTAGCAGTTCACTAATGTACTCAGGACCAAAGCAGTTGGAGTCGATATCATTAAGACAATTATATCTACTGTACTTGTGTGGAGTGTTCCGCCAGATGGGTTGGAAGTGAGTTTTCCCAACCAAATGAGATTACTACAATATGGATCAATGGAATTGCTGTGCCAGTGGAATTACTGTGGATCACAGGAACCAATGATGCAAAATGGCCTTTACATGCAGCTGTTTTTATTAGAAAGAAATTAAACTTAGTCGTTAATTTTGTTTAGTAAGAAAATAAGATTATGTTCATGCACTAAAAAGGTTATGTAGTTTTATTTCCAGAAATATAATCTATCATTTAATTTTTAAACCACAAACCACCTACTTAAAAATTACTTTTTTTCATTACTGTTTTTCCATTACACTTACTGTATATTCTCTGTCCTGTGGAAAC